CGCTGTCCCCGGAAAAACTCAAGGGAGACGAGGTAGGTTCAACGGCCGACACCGGACATCGACGTGGGGGGTTAGATTAGTTATTGAAAACCGAGACAAGTAAGCTTTTTGGCGTTAGAAAATTAAATGCAAAGCGTGCGTTTTTATCAGACTTTTGCACGCACTTTTTCACTACCAAATGGTTCGCCCATCCCAACAAATTTAAACCTAAAACAGCAAAGCTTATCACTTTTTCCCTCTTGATAGAATTCATTTTAATTTTGCTACGGGACCTGTCTGGACCACTGAGGGATTACACAGACACCATAATCTATTGTCACTCACAGAAAGCATGTTAGCTGTTTATATTTAATTATTTTTATTAGTTTTAGTTTGTCACTATCAACAGAGCATTTCTGTGATGGATGATCTGGCCCGTAAATATGACTGAAAATTAGTAATAAAATAAACCAAATAAATTATTTATCCCAAAATCCCAAAACCTATTTATTTCATTTGAAATAGCATCTTTAACATATTGTATATATACATTTTATTATTATGTATTTAAAAATATCTTATTTATTTTATTTTACCCTAAGTCAATCAGGACCATCCATAACAAGGCTCTAACAACAACAACAACTAACAATAATCAAAAGTTCAGCTACAGTGATTGTTAATGGACATCATGACAACAGCTCTTCCATAACAACTTACTGAACAAAGATGCTTGTGCATGTCTCATCATTAGGATGAAACAGGAAGTAAACACAGTAGTCGTGGAGACTCTGCAGTGTCCAAGAGCACCACTGACAGTGGAGTGGTCATGGAGAACAGAGAGGTCCCAACGCTCCCAGGGGCCATCCCACGAAAACTACCCCCTCTCACACCCACCGCAGGTCAGCTGGTTCCTGACACGTTTACTCTTTAAACACTTTACATAAGCTTATTTAGATCAAAGACTCATTTTTTCTCCTGAATATCATTGTCGAAAATGACATCAGGGTCATTTGGTGTTGCATATAGGATGAATGTCTGCCCTTTATTCCTGTGATTTCCCTAAAAATACCACCCATTCCTAGAGAGTTACACATCTACCCATACTATCAGAAATAAACCCTAATCTTAAGTGAGGTGATGGAACATGCCCTGATGTAAAAACCCTTTTAAGTGCCATGCTATGACTTTAATATTACTGTGGTTTGCAAAGTACAGAGCAGTGACATATTAAAGAATTGTCACTTGTTGGTATTAAACTCGTGCACAGCTAAGCCTTTGCTCAAATGTCTATTTTGGTTAGTTATTCCATATTATTACATTTTTGTGGTAAAAAATATCAACCCATTTTGTAATAGTTTTCTCACTGAGCTGTTATACTACATATTATTACAAAATGTATTATTACATAGCTGTAGGTCCATTTGAATAATGATCAAATACAGGTTTAAAGTGTTTTTTGTCTTCAGTCAGTCCTCCCTTGGTGAGACGGGACAGTCAAACTCAGGAGCGTCAGAAGTCTAGTGAAATCCTGGAGGAGCTCTCAAACCAAGGAATCATCCCACTGGGCCCGTCCCGAGAGAATAGTGGGGCAACAGGAGAGGCCTACAGCATCATGGTGCGCCAACTGTCACTGGACCATACTATAAAAACTGTTATGAAAAATATACATTATCATATATCATTAATGAACACACTCTCATTCAGTCTCGAATATCTGTGAATATCTATGTTTATAATAGATTCTTGCTTCATGTGAATGTAAATTTGTTTCAGTTAAATACCCGAGAAGGGACTCTGAGAAAGCCTCCTGCCAGACTAGAGTCCTTGAAAGAAAACAAAACACAACTCAGTAAAGAAGAAATAGATGAGAAGATCCGGCTTGCAGAAGAGAGACGAAAGGTGTGAAGAATAACTTGTGACTAATGCTCTTGTGTCTCCTTTCTTACAAAATATTAATATGTTTCAGCAAAAGGAGGATGAGATGAAGAGCCGTCTGAGAGCCAAGTCCGCCCGAATCAGAGTCCCTGCCCGTAGTCAGAGCACTGGGGAGGAGGAAGACCTAATAGAACAACTCTTGGCACCACCTCAAGGCCCACAGCCAGCTGAGGGGGGCATGGAGGGAGAGAGAGGGGCTACACCCAGCGGCCGGGGGTCTAGAAACACTCAGGAGAAGCAGGAAGAGTCAGCAGGTGTGAAAGAAAGAAGCGAGGATGACGTGGTTCCAATGACACGGGATGGTGAGCTCTCAGACTCAGCCGACAGTGATGTGAGCTTTCAACCTGCAACAGCTAACGATGAAATATTTTAAAGCATTTAAGTCACTTATTTTGTTTTGTAAATCAGAATCAGAGCCAAAAATTATATTTTACTAGTGTACAGAAATGATTTGTTATAAGCTATATATTATTGTAATTATGTCTTAATAGATCTATTTATGTCCCTTCAATGAACATTATAAAAAAAAACAAAAAAAAAAACACTTATTTGTTTAATGTAATTGTAATTTAAATGATTTCTTTAGCATAAAATGAGCACTTGGATGCATTTTTTTCAGATATTTTCATTTTTTCAGTTTCTTTATGATTAGGCTTCTTGTCTTTTGTCAGTGCACATATTGTGTAGTTTATAAGAGTGGACAAAAGATGGCGCTGTTTTGTCAGACTGGAGATTCTATCTACCCATATTAAATAACAGCGCTATATTGTAATGCATGCAGACCTACAGACAATACTGAAAGACAAGGGACAAGTACCAGAGGTGTCTGCGCCTGAATGAAAAATTATGAAGACAATTAATTAAAGTTACTTTAAAGTAAATTGTGCCTCAGAAGTACTGTGTCCTTATGATTAGACTTAATACAAGCTGTCACTCGCCCTCATTTGATGTAGAATTAAATATGATGTAGAAAGCGCTGACTGCTGTGTCCTCTGTGTGAGTGTTCAGCTGCTGTGTCGACCTTTGACCTGTAGATTTTTTGCGGTCAACAGGTGTGGGCCTACGGCTATGAGTGACAACGACAAAGGCTGATGTTCAACACTGCACTTTTTCATCAAACAATACACTGAAGCTGCAGCCTGAATGTTTGAGGAGAAACTGGGTGTACCCCACTTACAATAATCTAAACAGACAGTAGAGTTAAGATTTTTCTCCTTGACTTGTTACAGATTATTGGGTTAAATCTATGGATTTGTCTATCTATTTGCACACCAAGTAAAGTAATAAGAGTTAGGGATGGCTCGTGAGCCAAAATTGCTACAAGATAGTGCACACATGAAAAAAATTATTTTGTGAGATTTTTTTCCAAGTGTTTACATTTGGATTGGCCAAAAAGGGTCACGTGTTGTTTAGTTACATCTCTTACAGTTCCCAAAAGCAATACTAGAATCTAAACAAAAATATGAAATTAAATAAATAAGAAATTCTGTGGCTAAACGGAATTGTGAAATTAGGAATTATGTTAAATCTCCTTCTCGTGTATATAGTCCAGTATCTTGTCTCGGCTCATGAAAATTGTGTCCCATCTCTCATAATAATTGTTCCTTTTTCTCACATTCTGTCAAAGTCTTTTGAGTAATGAGTACTCCGTTTCCGTTTTCCCTATTGTAATTGAGCTTGTACCAATATACTAAAGTTCCCTGCAGTGGTGTGTGCCCTAAAAAGGGTAAAAGTCCAAAATGCAATTAAAATTGTTATGACCCTTTGACCTAATCTGACATCAACGCAACCTCTTCACTTTAAAATGTTACAGTGATAAAATGTTATGTTATATATTTGTCCTATGTTCTCTGAATGGGACAGCCGCCTGCGTTTGTAAAAGTGTGAGGGGCTTTAGACGAGTCAGCACACTGCTCCTAAACAGAAACAACAAGTGGACGCAACCTGAGCGGACCCCATTGTGGATCCAGAGAAACCTGACCCCAGCCTCTTTTCACAGCATCTCTCTTACTTTAAAAGGCGTGTGGCTGCATTAATAAAACAGTAAGTGAGCAGAAAGACACTCGATCAGGGAGCAATTGTTTGTAGTGGTCCTGGTTTTGCTATACTATGCCACTTGGTATTGTATAGTTTATAGTCTCAAGTGTTATGGAGCAGTTCATAAAGGCTGTATTGTGTCCAGAAAAGAGGAAATGGAGATTATTAGGACCATTTTTGCATGACCTTGTGAACTATTGCACGAGGATCTCTTTCAGTGAGAACGGTAAATTAATGGGATTTCCCTGTTGAATATGAGAATGTCTGTATCATCAAGAATGGTTTATTGTTTTGGCTGAATTATTTGGGTATTCATAGATTACAGACTGACAATTCCATCCTAAATTGAGGAACTTTGTGAGGGTCTTTTCCCATTCAAAAGATATAATATTTTTATTTGAAATGTTTAATTGTTACGACCATGGAGGTTTTACATATGTTATATTTTCCACGGCATTATAATGACTAAAATAATTACAAATCGGCCTACCATTAATGATTCAAAGCAGACTTCCCCTCTTTATTACTTTGAGTCCATCTTATCCTTGTCATAGTGAGATCTGACAGACTGAAGCAGCGGGTCAAGCATCACAGGTTTTCTGAATCATGTATGAGTCTGTTGACACTTCCTTACATTGTTTCCTAATACAATGACATATGTAATTGTGGCACACTGAGCATCTGAGGGCTTTAACTGTATGGTATAGTGTTACAAGATTAGCTCATGAATATTTTAAGATGATGAAACGAGTTGGTAAAACACATAAAAGATATTTTAAAACCTCATCCACCATTTTCCTATTTCCTATTTGAATTAAGTGGCACGTCATAACACAAGATTAGATTACATTTATTAAAGCCCTAGAGCTAAACCTACACACATTTTCCTTTTAATGAACAAATTAACAGCTTACATGTGTAGCTTAATCTTTTCAGCATTATTTCACATCTTGGTCTTCCAAAATCCTAGTCCAGTGGAGGTTTTATAGCCTCACCTGTTGTTGTTTTGTAGGGGGCTCGTGCTCGTGTCCTAGAGCTGTTTAAATGCCAATAGACCTACGTGACACTTTGATTAACACGTCCTAGATTTTCATCCGTAAGCAACAGTCCAGTCTGTCTTATTTCAGAACCCACTTCAACACCTGTCTTAATCAAGTTCATGGACCATAATTAGAGATGTTTCTAATGATGATAATGTGGTTTTGTGAAGGAGAGAGGCAGCGCTTTGAGTCAGGCTTCCCAGCTGTTTGTGCGCGCTGGTGGGCGGGCGCGGATGGACTGTGAGTGGGGAGGAGTTAGGAGCAGAGCGCTTTTAGGAATGGGTCCCAACGATATTTTGTGAGACAGCAAGAGTTAGGAAGAAGCGCTGGGAACACCTGACGGCCTCTCTGGGACAATCCGCTCCATTACTAATATATAGGCCTACTTCTGTCAACTTGGAAGATAGATCTACCTCCAGTTTTCATTTTTGTAGTTCCGTTTTCTGTGAAGCAACAAGTGACAGATTCAGCTAACTCTCCTCCTTAAGCCCCAAAGTATTGATAACTTTGCACTATTTCTATTTTGTTTCGTATTTATTTTTTGCACTAACGATGCACACCACGCAAAAGGACACGACCTACACAAAGATTTTTGTCGGGGGTCTTCCGTACCACACAACGGATTCGAGTCTCAGGAAATATTTCGAGGTGTTTGGTGAGATTGAAGAAGCTGTGGTCATTACGGACAGGCAGACCGGCAAATCCAGGGGCTATGGATTCGTAAGTATCCATTCACTTGTCGATGCCACAATTACGCACGACGCAGAGATCCACACTGTCCCGTTACTGAGCGCAGCTGTCCCAGTCTTTCGCAACGTTACAAATATATTTTGCAGTCACTGAATGCTTATGTTTTGATTAGCAGTGCGCTTTTAATACTGTGGCAAGCAGATTCTGTTGCAATCGTGTTGCCACCACTAACTTGTTGCGCGTTGGTATGCGCCCTGACATGTTTGAGAGACTTGCTATCAAACTGACAGCACTGGTGGGCTGACATTCGCCTCGTGCTGATAACGCCCTATCACTTTTGTCCATAGACCAATACAGTACTCTGTCAGTGACTTAACTAGGTTTCTAACAAGGCTGTTATCAAACCATTTCTGAATAATATTAATTAAATAATTAAATAATGACAATGAGAAAATAATGAAGATTCCACATTTTTAAATAAATATCCTAACTAACTAACTAACTAACTAACTAACTAACTATATAATATCATTTTCATAGGCCTCTCACCCCTGTATAGCCTTCTGTTCAGTAGTTTTGCCAGAAAATGTTTGTTTCGTATCACAGTGGAAAATATTGTTTTTCTATTTACATACAAACACATTTTTGGACAAAAGTTCATCTTAATTCTTGGTCATTTGTATAATTCAGTAGGCTAGAATGGCCAAATTTAAAGTTGCAAGACTATATAGATTATGATAAACAAATGTAGAGTTTGGGTGACACACTCATAAGATCCATGTTGAGCGGGTGATGTCAGACCTGGCTCCAGTCTGTGCTGAAGTCATTTCAACACATCCACAAGCAGCTGATACCTGCCACAGTCCATGTACTGGCCCTATGAGCCCCAATACTATCTGAAGAGACACTTGACATTCCCCCACCACAAAACTCATATATCTACAAGCTCATATCTGTAAATAAATGAACTGTAACACCCTATTTTTGGACTAGAATGCCAATTCTATCAATAGTAGTTTTATTTTTTATTATGTCGCCACATCAAATTATCCAAATCCTCTTTAGACTATATACACAAAATCAATTTAGGCAAAGACATTCAACCTACCACAAACTAACAAACAAATCATTAGATACTTAATTTTTTTAATATGTGATCAGTTTCAGTTAGTAGCACCTCCTGTCTTACATTAAGTCTAAATGCATTCCACTGTGTCAGCACTTTCCTTATCTTCCAAATCGTGCTGTTCTCTTCACATTTGACAAATCAAAAAGTTGCTCCAGGCTGACGTATTAAACTAGGCTAACTGTAACCACAGTAACATATCTACTTAATTCATCTAAACTCCTCGTGTGTTTTTATTACTCCTTACAGGTGACAATGGCAGACCGCTCAGCTGCTGACCGGGCGTGTAAAGACCCCAACCCAATCATCGACGGCAGAAAGGCCAATGTGAACCTGGCCTATCTGGGAGCAAAGCCACGTGTCATGCAACCAGGTACCAGCTTCAGGCATTTCATGGTTTAGAAGCTGGGACATTTGGTTCAGAACAAATTTTTGCACGATTAGTAGTTGCAGATTTTGACATGACACGTTCTGTACATTAAGTCTTGGCTGTAATAGACCATATACATAAGATAGAACTTTATTTTTTATCCATGGGTTTCAAAATGATGACAACTTAGAACCAAATATCTTATCTTTTTGAACAGGGAAAAAGTTCTAAAATGTTGCTTAGAACAGGAAAGTTGCTCAAACCATGAAGAGCTGAACAGCAACATGGGCCGTGGTTCTAATAATTGTGATAGAAACATG